CCTTGTTTTAGACTCGATGAAGTCAGAACGACAGTTATGATGTTTTTTTTTGTTACACTAAAACGTCACTAGTGATGTAACAACACTTGTGTCGTTTTCAGAACAGTAACAGCAGTTGTGTTGTTTTATTTTTCATGTCAATTAAGTATTGATCATATCTCCCCTACGTTGAGTTATAGAAAAATATAATAAAGCCTAATCAAATCAAATTGAGTTATAAAAGCACTAGAAATTTCTATTCTTGAAGAATCATTTCAAAATTCTTTCGAATGGGCTTGTTGTTAAACATCAAAATGATTACACCTAAACACTTTATGCAGTAAACACCATACTTCTGCGATGAATTCCCACGTCAGCCACAAACAAGCACATAATACACAATTTCAAGAAATTTCACTTTTAAACCACAAAAAATNTTCTTGAAGAATCATTTCAAAATTCTTTCGAGTGGGCTTGTTGTTAAACATCAAAATGATTACACCTAAACACGTTATGCAGTAAACACCACACTTCTGCGATGAATTCCCACGTCAGCCACAAACAAGCACATAATACACAATTTCAAGAAATTTCACTTTTAAACCACAAAAAATTAACATAAACATTAAGAGGAGTGACTGACCAAGAGAGTAGAAAAGAATCGTCCAAGCTATTGAAAACTCTGACAATACAATACAAACACCTTCCATGCCATACACACATTTCAGTATTAATTTCTCAAAGCACATAATTAACTACGAGAAAGCCAAGATTCCATACATACACATTTCAACGTTGCTTATCTACATGCTGGTGTATATACATGTAGGTGATAAGGATTAGATATGTGATGTTGATGAGAAGGACATCGTGGAACATCTTAGGGTAAATTTGTGGACATGGATCTGGAAATCATTATGTCCTGCTTTGTTGTAAGTTTAGACATAAAACATCACATGCTCTATGAGGGGATTACTGAGTTGTGAACCCCTGCTGGCGGACTACAGTCTTTTAATGGCTAAGGTTCTTAAGGGAGTACCTATTCAAAGAACTACCTCTTAATGTAACTATAGCCTGCAGCGAATCCAAAAACCAAAATGAAAAATAAAACCTCCTAAACACAGCCTTGACATAAGAGCATGAACCATTACAGCTAAACCCATTGAATTAGAATTACAAAACCAATTTCAAAAAAGATAGGACAATATCTACAACTTCATTCATTTAAGTTAATCCAGTTAAAAGAAAAACAAATATCTCCCCAAAAAAATTAGTGCAACAATCCCCTATAAAATCTTGTCCTGCACGTTGTAGTTTAACATTATACAGAACCCCTATATTGTTAAGCTAGAATGAATATTAACAATAGAAAAAATCATTTGAAACTATTGCAAACATTGATTAGAAAAGGCTGATCGCAAAATTGTTACCACAAAACCAATTG